TTCGCTTATTGCTGACACATTTGAAGCATGTGTAAAGACAGAGCCTGGAGATTACTGAACTGTAACAGTTTCGATGCCTGCTCAGAGTGAATGAGAGGACAGCAATACCTAACTAACTGACACTTTGCGATGGAACCAGAAGACTCACTACAGCGGGAGAAAAATTAGACATTGGAAGGTTCCTGTCAACACGGATATGAGAATGTGTTCAGTCAGGTGGAAGTTCAAGTCGAGGCCCATTCGATGGGAACCAGTGCTTCTTCATTCCTTATTCGCTATCCATCGATTTTGGTTAACATAAGACCGGGTCTGAATCGCGTACTACTTACCTTGAGTTCCCTGATTAAAGCTTCTGCTTTCACTATTGATATAAAATAATAATTTGGTCATACACACACCCAAATTTTGAATCAATATTCCACCAAAATATGTTAACTTATTTCCTTTTAATTAGGGTTGCGTATCACACAACTCGATCTTATTGTTAGCTTTATGAAGTTAATGACTGCGAAGTTGATAGTATTGTTTTAGAGGCTGATTGCTCTTAATTTATTATCCTGTGGACGCTCGCAGGCAAGCCGAAGTGAATCCACCACGTGCTTCGATGTTTTCGGACGCCCCTTGATCTGTAGTAAAAAAAAGCTTCATGCGTTATTAAAAAGGGTTTATTAAGACATTTTAAGACAAGTGCTGTAAGAAAACTGAGTAGGACGGTTTGTAGGTGCCATATATTTAAGAGTGATTGTCTGCTAAGAAGCAGACTGGCCATGTCCGAGCTTCCGAGTACGTGACTAGAATCCACTGAGGGCTCCCGCAGATCTATGAAGCTGGTGTGGTTTTGAAGAGAAGAATGGTCACAGTGCCGAGTGTAAAGTGAATGTACGCTTGCTTTTCATGCGTTACGTAACTAAACGGAAAGGATGCATGTTGAAAACAGTGAATATAAAATAAAATAGATTGTAAAAGGTTAACTCTATTGAATATAAATATACGAATGAATTTTAATGAAAATATGCGTTAGTGAATTATAAGGGAACTCTTTAACAAATGAATAAACCACGATGATGAAAATACACCACTTGCGAAATTAGGAGAATCGAGTCATCTAGGAGTGGAAAGTATGTGATGTCTATTTTAAATGGACTACTAAATATATCACTGCCAATCCTGCTCTGTAGAGGAGAGATGTGATGACATTATATCGAGGTAAAGACTACTTAAAGGATTATCGTTCGCCCTAGGCCTAATAAGTGCTTTTGAAAACACTATAAGCATAATATATTTGATTGCGACTACCTGAAAATAATTGTCTTTAGATGCCTTGGAGGATAGACTAGAGATTAGTCATTTTGATCCTCCAAATCTCAGTGAGATAACGGGGGAAATGTTAGCAGAACCTGACAATGCGTTAGCGAAAGCATTATCTATGTTCTTCTTTCTTTCTTCTTCTTTCGAGACTCTGCTCCTACTCCCACTCTGTCTTTTACATACTCAAAAGACTATCTCACTAAACTGCACTGTGATATCGAAATTTTTGCCAGTGCTATCAAGATATGGAAACACAAATCTTACGAAGGGTGCCGAAGAAAGGTAATCTTATATAAACCGGTGGAACTAGCTATTCGAATTGCATGGTTAACCACCCGAATGGCAAACGAATCCAAGAAGTGGAGGCTTAGAAGGACTAGGTTATGGATCACGACTTCACCCAAATCTTCGCTGCACTGCTTACAAGAAGAGAAGTTTGCAATGTTAGTCCTGTACTTCGTCAAGGCGCCTTCATTTTCCTTTGATTAAGGCTGTTTCGCTAAAGACTTTGGAGCGTTTTTGCGTCGACAAATACACTTCGCAAACCAAGCACGACGACCCTGGGTCGATCACTTTCAAAGTCGTGCCAACGAAATTTTAAATGGCAGAACGCACTGATTTAGGAAACACACTTATTTATTCCCTATCTCTTTCCTTAGATTTACAGACAGCTATGAGGAGACCTGATACAGAATGTCAGGAATTCTGTTTTGGATCTGGAGATTTCTTAGCCTGTGCAAATAATTTGACTAAAACTACGTGTGTTCGCAGCCAGGCCAGGAAACATGGTAATCCTATTTCTACATTGGGGCGGCTTACGTTTGGAATTATTTGCCTGAAGGTGTTTTTTTTCTTCATCCATAGTAACGTTTCAGAGGAAACTGGATCCGTATCGCAGTGTGCAACACACTATCGTACAGAGAGAATATCCGGAAAAGACCAAGGAGGCTAGCCATTTCTGGTTCATTAGCCATCGTCAGCGGTTCATACTCAACCCTAGGTGGTGCCATACCGATATTCGAAATCGCTACCCTTTTTTATCAAAGATAAGCGCCCTAATCATCGATTCACAAGCTCGTTGTCTCG